GACCAGGATGGTCTTGATCTCTTGACCTCATGATCCACCCGCCTCGGCCTCCCAAAGTGCTGGGATTACAGGCGTGAGCCACCGCGCCCGGCCACAAGTCTGTATTTCTTGTGCTTTCCTACAAAGGATCCCTGTCCTCACTCTCCTAAGGTCCAATTTCTTCCTTTTTTTTTGAGACGAAGTCTTGCTCTGTTGCCCAGGCTGAAGTGCAGTGGTGCAACCTCAGCTCACCGCAACCTCTGCCTCCCAAATTCAAGCAATTCTCCAGCCTCAGCCTCCTGAGTAGCTAGGATCACAGGCATGCGCCACCATGCCAGGCTACTTTTATATTTTTAATAGAGATGGGGTTTCTCCATGTTGGTCAGGTTGGTCTCGAACTCTCCTGACCTCAGGTGATCCGCCTGCCTCGGCCTCCCAAAGTGCTGGGATTACAGGTGTGAGCCACTGTGCCTGGCCCCTAAGGTCCAATTTTCAACCATGCTGACTCTCCTCCAGCTCCAACTTGTTCAGATCTTAGCTCTACCACTTATAAGCTATGTGACCCTGAGCAAGCCTTTAGTTTTTTAAATTAATTAGTTAATTAATTTTTTGGTAGAGTTTCACCATGTTTCCCAGGATGGTATTGAACTCCTGAGCTCAAGTGATCCACCCACCTTGGCCTCTCAAAGTGCTGGATTACAGGTATGAGCCACCATGCCCAGCCCTGGACAAGTTTCTTAATCTCTTTGTGCCTCATTTTCCTTTACTGTAAATGAGGATATTAGTGCCCCTTACATTCAAAACACTTAAAATAGTGCCTGGCTCATAACAGTATGCACTAGATGAATGTTGGCTACTAATACCCACAACACTCCTAAAGCAGACCTCCAAGAGGAGGAGGTTTTGCCAGGGGCCAGTGGCAAAACTCAAATGTGAATCTAGGCTTTCTGAGGTTAACTGCCTCAAGTCAGGGAGAAAGACACAAGCCCAGATTATTAAAAACATTATTCAACATAGAACTGCCGTAATCCAGGAACAGAGTGCCTCAGCAAAGCTGGAAACTGAATCAAGTCTAAACTTGGCCTCTAGTGGCCCCAGAACATCCCCGCTGTGACACCTTTCTGATGATACCCCAGGTCTTGTATGAGCTAAACGGGACCAACAAGGGTCAGTCTTTCAGAGAGCTTCTGACTGTGCACACTTCTTCCCCCATCCCCGCCCCCCATGACTTTCTTTTAACAGCAGACTGCACACTTCTGGTGGGAAGATGAAGGTCTGGACCATGACCATCAATCCAATGTGATGGAGTATAGGAGGCAGGCAGCAGGGTCTTGTGGAGACCCTTCCTCATTCCAGCCTGGAACTTCAACAACCCAGGGGCAAAGCTGCCCTGCTTACTGCTCACCTTGGCTGCTGTGGTCTTCCAGGCTGACCCTCCAGTCATCACCCCGGGGCTCGGCATGCAGTTCGGCATGGATCCCAGAGATGAGGCCAGGCTCCTGCTGGGGCCGCAGAGCCACATCACACAGGTCGGCCCTGTGGCCCAAGCGGTAGGTGCAGCCAGCCCCGGCCGGTGGGTGAAAGGTGTAGAGATCTCCGCCTCTGCCGCCCCCTATGCGCAGCAGTTGGAAGCAGGGCAGCATGGGCGGTGCCCCCTCTGCACCACCTTCCACTTCAGGCATCCATTTCCTTTCCCACTCCTGGGCCACGCACCACTGGCTTAAGTTCGCTTCCCAGTCTGATGCAAACTTGAGTTGTGCTGTGTGCAGTTTCAACTTTAAGCACACTACCTAAGTTAGTCTAAATTCAGACTGGAAGCAGCCTAGGACTCTGCAAAATTTGTTGTGAAGCTGACTTGCAACTGAAAGATTCCAGGAAAGTCTCCATACAATGCAAACTCAGGAACACGTCCTACGGCACCTCACTTGAGCTGGATCCTCAGGTCGCAAAATATTTGGAGAACCTCCAATCTGCAAGGCAAGGATATTTTAGGCAGCTCTTTTGTGTGTCGGGGTGGCGGGGCGGGGAGGTCCTGTTATACAAACTGTCTACGTGCAATACGAACACATCACCTCTGTGTAATTTAGAGAAGAGCAGCTTCTTCCTATCAAGCTTGCTTATCCTAACAGAGCACTCCTGCTGGCCTGCGCCCCGATCGCTGGCCAATCCCTCACTCATAACTAGTTTGAACCCCCGAGGGCAATGAATCCACTGTCATCCCCCAAAAGGAACTGCAAACAAATCCTTAAGTTCTCCAACAAATTGGACCTAAACCTCTGCTTCCCGGCTTCTCTAGGTGGGATTAAAAACGGAAGGCGCTCCCGAGATCATGCAAGGCATACCCAGCCTTTTCCCTCGGCCTCAGCCGCGTTTCGGATCTACCCGTGCGGTGCAGTCTCCGAGTGGCCTCCTCTTCAAGCAATGCCAACCTGTGCGGGGGTCCTGGGACCCCTTGGGCTCCTCCGCAGGAGCCAACAGTTCCGCAGCTGTTTGACAGCCAACAAGCCGGAGCCTGAAGGGGCGCGGCCTCGGGGCGCAGGCAGCCTACCCCTCCTTCGGAATTCCCGGGCCCGAACTTCGCGCCGAGCGAGCCCGCCCCCGTGCCGTTCCTGATTGGCCAGATCATTTGTTCTCTTTCGCGCCATTGGACGCTGCCCCAAGCCCTCCCGCCTTCTGCTTTTTCTGATTAGCTCACAGGTTTTCCCGGGTTCCCGCAGTGGGGAGGAGCCGCCTGGGCGCGGAGATTCTCTGACGCATTGAGCCCGGCTTTAGGCGGCATTGCGCCTGCGTGCACCTTTCCTGTCCCCTGAATGAAATGGAGGCGTCAGAGCGCCTGACTTGCGCAGGCGCAGTCCATGCAGAGGCGGGGCCGGGAGCCAGGCGGAGGAGGTGTGGCCAAAGCGCAATAGGGTGCTCTCGCGGTGGGTAAGGGACGTTCGGGAAGAGTCGGTTGGGGGCGGGAAGGGGCTGAGAGAGGGTGCTGGGAGGGTGTAAGGGGTCCAAAGGGGAAGGGGGCACAGGGGCCCGGTGAAGGGACAGATGAGGAGATCAGAACAGCCTTAGAGCTCAGGGGCCAACAGGGTGAAGCCTCGGTTATCTGAGGGAGCGTTGGGGGGAGAGCAGAGCCGGCTAGCAGGGGACGAGAGCGGGCTATTGAGAGATGGGGGTGAGGGTGAGGACCAGAATAATACCTTCAGAAAAA